TTAAGGTACTAGATACGGATAAAGTGGGGTCCAATTTAAACGAAATAGCTCAAACTGTACAAGACTTAAGTTGAAATGAAGTCCATAAGATATATCTGTATAGAATTTCCATCCGAAATTGCGTGTCAAAAGTGTGAATTTTCGCACTTAAGGTGTCGAAAAGCCACAGGCAATCCAATCGATTTTTTTAGTAAATGTTGAAAATCTCGGGTGCTTTACATACAGAAAGCACCAAACTTACCATAAATGAGCCTGGGTCGTTAATAAATATAATTTGAAGAGCCCCAAGTTGGATAAAAAATTCCAAGCTCCATTAGAGTTTTTTTGCATTTTCACTCGCAAAAATTTTCAAGTCAATCCAACAACTTGGGGCTCTTAATATTCTTTTCTTTAGACTCTTGTTTAAATGTTGTCGAAAAATAATGGCCATCCGACAAATCGGAGTAGATTTATTACCGAACGCGTGTCGCAGAGTGGCCATTAAGAGTACAAAACAAGTAAAATCTTGCCGATTACGCTTTCGATCGAGGAAATGACCTCGCCATTTTGAACTTTTTACCGCTGACCACCATAATACACGAAAAAAAATCGATTACATTACGATTCCCTTCGAATAAAAGCGAAAATAGGTCGCCCACGCGTCGTATACTMGGACTGCATTCCCGCGAACGAAAACAAATGACGTCATCCTTGACGACGGGCTACACCGCATGCGCAGTATATATCCACAACACTTCACACTTSGATTGATGAGACTTCTTGAAAACAATTGAAAGCAATACCAGTCAACGCCGAAACTTACAAATATTACTAACACGGAGTTCCACACTTACTTGAGGCCATGTTAGTAGATACTTCGGAGATAACTTTGGACTCTGTGTTCTCAATTTGCTCGTTGTAAACATGTGCAAAGTTATTTGAAATATTCTTTCTCACACCTTTGACGGAAATTAAGCTTCGCGTTCTCGCGTGGACCATTCAAGTGCGCATGATCAGTTTGATCAAATAACAATAAACGGTCTCGTATGACTTCAAAATGGCTTCCTTAGATACATCTTTTCACTTGATTTTCTAGACGAAAACGATATAACACTGAAGCGAAATGTCGGCAGTGTGTTCACTATAGTATAAATATACTATTAAGCGATAAAAATGAGGTCAAACTTTTTGAGTCGACATCCGTATCTAGTACCTTAAGCTCAAGTTGCAAATGAAAATTTCATTTGTAATTTCAAACTTTAAAAGCATTATTTGTTTGCTTTCTTTAGTTTAATCTCATTCGACTTTTCCTCAATATAGCCACCTTAGTTATATTAACTGTTTTGATTGCCGTTACTACATCTGTAATCTCACAAAATGATTGAATGCCGTGTGCAATTTCAATTCTTGTTTTCGAAGTGATAAACAATTATCTCAAAAACATTTTTTTTTATATACACGTAAATTTCTCGAAAAATCGAAGATTGACACAAGAGAAAGATTATTTGAACGACAAACATAAATTTAAAGTATTTTCATCAAGTTAACGGCATCCCTTCATAAGCTTTTATGTACGCTTCGAAAATTAAAATACATCGCATTACATGCAATTATATGTTTTATTTTCTATGAATATCAAAATAAAATGTTAATGACTGCACTTTCTATATTTRCCGTTAAYTTTTTGCTGAATTCTCGAAATTTCCTACATTTTTTGTAAGACCAAAGAGAGTCCTACTTGTGGCAAGTCTTTTAGAAGACTCTTGATTGTAATATACAATGTTTGTATATAGAATAAATATTAATTTATGTCCTTTTGTATGCATGGTAAGTAGCGGTATACCAACCAGAAAAAAACCCTTGCCCAGCATATCAAATCCGTACAACAAAACTTTTGTGGAAAAGGAAGATAACAAAATATGACACATAAATTAGCATTTTAGCACTTTTCTTATTTGAACACATGTTCATTGCAATTGATTCAGCCGAATTTTAAAAACTTGTTTTTTTTTTGTGTAATAAACAATTGTATTGAAAATAATATTTCTTCATTATTTGTTGTAAAAATCAGCAGATTTAAAAAAAGGTAATTAGCCAATTTTTTAAAAAGGTGATCAGCCAATTACAACTTGCTTTTTTGGTGGAATAACCTCTTAATATTGAAAATAATATTTCTTCATTATTTGTTGTAAAAATCAGCAGATTTAAAAAAAGGTAATTAGCCAATTTTTTAAAAAGGTGATCAGCCAATTACAACTTGCTTTTTTGGTGGAATAACCTCTTAATATTGAAAATAATATTTCTTCATTATTTGTTGTAAAAATCAAAAAAAAAAAATGTTTTCTTATTTGTATGACAAAAATAAACATCAATAACCCGCATCCCTTGTAATCGTTTATGAATGTTTATCAAAATTTACTTTACATAAGCAAAAACCTACTCTTTATTATCCCTTTATACTCAATGAAAGGAAATATTGTAAGATTCGAACTTAAAAGCGACAGATAAAAACGAATTGGAAATGGGATTTTTACACTAAAATTTATTAAAAAATCAAAATGTGTACTGAAGATAATGTGGCTGTATGACGTTTAAGAAAAAAAATAATGATTTAAATATAGTACTCATAAACTATTTGAAATCTGTTATTTGCAATTGACTTAGCCAATAAAAACACAGCCGTCAACATGTCAGTGGTAAAAAGTGCCGCTGATTTCCATAAAGTGTGAAATTTCTCACTCACAAACCACTCGAATAGCTCGACACACAACGACTGCAAGTATTGGGGTCCTGAGAGCGATGTTGAAAAGGTTGCTAAACGAACTGCCTTTGTATTGGTAATTTTATTGGTAATTTTTGGAAACGTTTTTGTCATCCTACTCGCGACAAAATACACAGTACGCAGGAGCCTGAACCATTTGATCACCAACATGGCCGTGTCAGATACACTATTCCTTTTCTCTTCGCTACTAGAGAACATTCCTTGGCTTTCTAACAATATTTGGAGAATATATCATAACGGTTTATTGGGTATTATTGAATGTAAAATAGTGCGGTTCATATGGAATACTTCAGTTAGAGTAACTCTCATAACTTTATTGATTATCAGCGTTGAGCGTTTTAGGGCGACAAGACAAACTCTACAGAAACAGCGGCCATACACACGAAAACAACGAATGATTGTGCTCGGTTTATGCTGGTTAGTTCCCATGCCATTTGCTGCCTTCTTCATATATGCCGAATTGCCTTGTATCAACCAGCCGGCGAGAAAATCTCTTGTACCAGGAATTTGGATTCACGAGCTTTTGGTTGTTATGTGTTGTTGTGTTATATTCGCTCTTGGCATTTTAACAACAAAACGACTGTCCAAATTGCAACCAATCGACGCCCATCTCGCACAAGCACAGCGAAAAGCACGAGTTCGTCGAACACAAGCAGCCGTACGAATGGTCATTACGTCTGTTTCACTTCATTCATGCTGCACCCTTCCACTTTTAATTTTCAACGTTTTCTATTACGTTAAATTTGTCTTTCCATCTGTTGAAATTATAGATTTCTCAACGTGCAAAGACTGGAAATCTATTAGTTTTATAATGTACACATTTCTCCTGGTCGTCAACTCGTGCTTCAGTCCTCTTATTTACATAGTGTTTTTACCTGACTTTAAAGAAGCAGCAAAGAAAGTACTGTTCCGTGGAAGAGAAACGCAGAACCAAACAAACGAAACTCAATTGAGCTGCAGCCAGCTCCAAACCGTTGGTAGATCCGGACAAAATCTATCGCAAGTGGAAACAAATCAGAACTGATTTTTTCTACGGAAAAAATACTTCGTAAAAAAAATCAACAAACTGTGAATATATAAGTATTAATTATAAGCATAATGAAATTGAACAAAACACCAACTTGAAGCTTATTAAAGCTTTTTAAATCTTTTTAAAATATCTCTGTTTTAATGGACGTTTCGGCAATTCGGCTTTCTTTAGCAAACTGAGTGTTTTGTGTTTTTTATTTTTATTTTTAAGGTTAATATTTGATTATAATTTTATTCAAGAAAT